GTTTTTCTGGACAGCTGTCAGCACTGTGCTGTCCTTGTAGTTCTATCTTTTTATTGCTGTCCTTGTAGTGATTCCTTGTACTACTGTCCTTGTAGAGCTGTCCTTGTAGTGCTGTCCTTGTAGTGCTGTCCTTGTGGTGCTGTCCTTGTAGTGCTGTCCTTGTAGAGCTGTCCTTGTGGTGCTGTCCTTGTAGTGCTGTCCTTGTAGAGCTGTCCTTGCAGTACTAGATAGGCTGTCAGAACTAGATAATCAGGAATGTCTACCATGTTCCGAAAAGTAAAACATGCACAAAGAGAAACTAGACTTTAGTGCGACATAAGAAATGTATCTATGACCAGCACAAGTCTAAGCAAGGTTCTCAACTTTCTTCCCTCTCCCGGCCCCTTCTTTTTCTAAAAAAAAAATCTCGTTGTCTTTAATTTTTTTAAAGAAAATAATTTGTCATAGTAAAACAATGCGCCCAAAGGCACCGCTACATTTGTTTACAATCAATAATAAGTCATCTATCTTTATATATTTTTCACATATAATTGTAAATAAACATTTCAATAGAAAATTAAAAATCAATATTTCAAAATTTAAGTCTTAATCAATAATTCAATATATACGTATTAATCTATATTTCGCTACATATTCATTAATCGATAATTAAATATATAAGTGTCAATCAATGTTTCAACAGCCAAGTTCAGACTTTGCCCTTCTTCGATGGTCAAGGTGATAATACAATCATTCATATATACGTTTTTATGAATAATTCAATATAAAAGTAAAAATTATTTTCCAACATATTTCACGTTTACAAAAGGAAAATTGAGCGACACAAACCATTTAACAAACAAAAAATATTTTCCATTTCAAGCACATGAAAATTTTACTGCTTCTGCCTTTTCATTTGCGAAATGTCTGAGCTGTTCAGTAAGATGACATTCAAAAGTAGGAGTAGGCTGGTTAAGTCTAATATTGTGTGTATTTCAAATGGCTTATTTGTATCAAACTGTCAGTAGTGCGCTGGTGTAATGTATGAGGCACCTCGTATTTCCGTTTCTAAACACCGAGTGCCCTGTTTCTATGTTGGAGATTGTGACGTGACGTACGTTGTCTAGGGGCTGACCGTGACAGAGATCTGACAACACAGAAATTGTTTCAATTCGTTTCTAAATTTTTCTCGTTTCTTATTTTGTCTTGTCTGCTGCAGACGGCCGTAAAGTCTTTTCAATTGTCCTGTCTTTATCTAGCCGTAAAGTCCTTTCAATTGACCTGTCATTATCTATCCGTAAAGTCCTTTAAATTGTCCTGTCTTTATCTAGCCATAAAGTCTTGTCAATTTTTCTGTCTTTATCTATCCGTAAAGTCCTTTAAATTGTCCTGTCTTTATCTAGCCATAAAGTCTTCTGAATGTTTCTGTCTTTATCTAGCCGTAAAGTCCTTTTAATTGTCCTGTTTTTATCTACCCGTAAAGTCCTTTACATTGTCCTGTCTTTTCTCTTCAAGACTAATCTATCTTGTTTCATAATTCCCTTCTATATTTCAGGGAGAAATGAAATTACCTCTAATCTTTATTATCTATCTTTTAATCTTAATAAAAACGCCCACAGATCTATCATTTTTTAGATCTATACCTTACCCGGAATATTTAATTTATTTTAAAAAATGTTCAAGTTTTTAGAAATTTTTAGAGATGAATAAAGACAGCTATGTTTTTGACTGTGCTCCTTATTTCAATTGTATCTGAAAATTTCATACAGTTTTATCCTATTTAAAATATTGGTGAGTTTTGGTCTGATTGCTTCAATATTTATCTAAAGGAGTTTGATAGGGCCTTACTTTAAAGGATATATTTTTTCCTTCATGTAACGGGCACTTATTGCAAAAAAAAATGATTTAAATGAAACAAGTTTTTAAAGGTTTACTGACAGTTTTGACGTGATAAAACTGGCAACTTGATTTTAATAGGATTCATTTTCAGTGATAACTTTAATCCTTAAGGACCAGCGTTTAATGTTAACTGGGCTTAAGACCGGGTAGTTTAGCTAATATATTATTTATCTGTTACATTGTTTATGCACTTAATTTATTTAATAAGTTTGTCTGAGTTATTGCCCATTTCTCATCTTTTGAAATAGAATTTTATTTATTTATTTTAATTTTTTTTTTTAATGTGTGATTTATTGTAATTATTTTTATGATTTGCTATATTATTTAATTGGGTAATTAGGGTATGATTCTAATAAAAGTTTTACAGGCTCATTCAAATGAACGTTCTACAGGCTCATTGAAATAAAAGTTCTACAGACTCGTTAAAATAAAAGTTCTACAGACTCATTAAAATAAAAGTTCTACAGGCTCATTGAAATAAAAGTTCTACAGACTCATTAAAATAAAAGTTCTACAGACTCATTGAAATAAAAGTTCTACAGACTCATTAAGAGTTCTACAGACTCATTGATATAAAAGTTCTACAGACTCATCAAGATAAAAGTTCTACAGACTCATCAAGAGTTCTACAGACTCATTAAAATAAAAGTTCTACAGACACAATGAAATAAAAGTTCTACAGACTCATTGAAATAAAAATTCTACAGACTCATTGAAATAAAAGTTCTACAGACTCATTAAGAGTTCTACAGATTCATTAAAATAAAAGTTCTACAGACACAATGAAATAAAAGTTCTACAGACTCATTGAAATAAAAGTTCTACAGACTCATCAAGAGTTCTACAGACTCATTAAAATAAAAGTTCTACAGACACAATGAAATAAAAGTTCTACATACTCATTGAAATAAAAGTTCTACAGACTCATCAAGAGTTCTACAGACTCATTAAAATAAAAGTTCTACAGACACAATGAAATAAAAGTTCTACAGACTCGTAGAAATAAACGTTCTACAGACTCATTGAAATAAAAGTTCTACAGACTCATTAAAAGTTCTATATTTCATTGAAATAAAAGTTCTACAGACTGATCGAAATAAAAGCACTAAGACTCCTTGAAATGAAAGCTCTACAGGCTCATCGAAATGAAAGTTCTACATGCTCATCAAATTCATTGAAATGAAATTAATTCTACCGGCTCATTAAAATTTCTTACACATACTCTCACTTCTAAAACTCGTGTATATTCTTATAAGTTGTGTGGTGAGACTTTCTTTGTTTTGTGTTAATCTGCAATGCATGTAAATATAGTGCGGAGTATTGACTTACTGTACAGATTATCAAGCTAAAACTGAATCCTTATTTGAGCATAAAGCGTTAATGTTTTCGGAACTGTCTTTCTAATGACTAAAAGTGGCTCATAGACTGGCTGTTTTGAAAAAAAATGTCTTTCTATAGACTAAATGTGGTTCATAGATTGGATGTTTTGGAAGATGTCTTTCTATAGACTAAATGTGGGTCTTAGATTGAATGCTTTGGAAAATGTCTTTCTAAAGACACAACTAAAGGCACAGGCAAATTTCTGAAAGTTATTTGATAAAGAATGAAAAGAAATACAAAAAAAAAAAAAAATTACTTGAGATGAAACAAACAAGAAATTTTATTACAGGAGTCTCTGAGTCCTGTTATTATAGTATCCCATCTCTATGGTCCACATCTCTATGGTCCACATCTCTATGGTCCACATCTCTATGGTTCACATCTCTATGGTTCACATCTCTATGGTCCACATCTCTACGGTTCACATCTCTATGGTTCACATCTCTATGGTTCACATCTCTATGGATCACATCTCTATGGTCCACATCTCCTTGGTTCACATCTCTATGGTTCACATCTCTATGGTCCACATCTCTATGGTTCACATCTCTATGGTTCATATCTCTATGGTCCACATCTCTATGGCTCATATCTATATGGTCCACATCTCTATGATTCACATCTCTATGGTTCACCGTGCGCATTGCTTGTGTTAATAGCAGTAATGTCACATCTCTTTGGTCCAAATAGCGGCACATAAACATATTCAGTTATTGTGTTTCATTTTCTTTCTCTTTTTTAAAACCAATTTTTTTATTAAGGATTGGGTTAAATAAACACCTATCTGATTTATCATCAAAATGAATAAGCAGGCAAATCAAGTTAACAAAATTAACAAGAAATGAAAGAAAAATCTCTTTATTTTATTGTTCAACATTTATTAAGACTTTTACTGTTGATTGCACAGACATTGTTGAGATCAACCGTTCAAGCTTTAAATCACAAAGGGCATGAAACACGAAACACCTGACACATATGACACGCATGACACACTTGACACACATTACACGCCGGACTAACACGACACGCCTCACTCATGTAATGAATGGACATTTGCACACTAATTCATCCAATAAAACTTAATATCCACTGCTGGATTTGCCTGAGTAAGCGCTGTTGTAGTTGTTGTTGGCAGCGGCGTATCCGTTGTTGTTGTAGTTGTTGTTGTTGGCAGCGGCGTATCCGTTGTTGTTGTAGTTGCTGTTGTCATAGGCAACGGCTGGGGCAACTGTCATTGATTAATAGAAAAATACTTCCAGAGTTAGTCAGATAGTGAGACAGTGAGATAGTCATATAGTGACACAGTGAGATAGTCAGATAGTGACACAGTGAGATAGTCAGATAGTGACACAGTGAGATAGTCAGATAGTGACACAGTGAGATAGTCAGATAGTGAGACAGTGAGATAGTGAGATAGTGAGACAGTGAGAAAGTCAGATAGTGGAATAAGGAAAAATAGCATTGAAGTTATATTTAAAGGCAACTATTCCAATCTGTGAACTACTCAATACCTACAGGCATTTAAAGCTAAGTTAAAACAAATAGATGTGATTATTTTTAAATCGACACTTTACGGGTAAAAATAAAATAATACAACATTTAAAAAATTGATATGTTTACCGTAAGCGCAAGTGTTGTCAGCGACACATTTGCCAGAGTAGGCATCGAAACTGTAGTAGTTGTTACATTGACGGTAGAGAGACTCGCCATAGTAGCACTCGTAATATCCGTAACACAGTCCAACAATGGCGTAGGTCTTGCCTTCGTCTTTAGGTCCACATGGGTCTGGGGAATAGGGAAGCCAAAGTAATAATGTTAACATTGGATATAGTTTTATTGATTACATTTGTTTCCCCTTTCCAAATGTGATTATTATTGTAATGAAGTAGAATTGATTACGTCGGTAATTAAAGTTTTAAAAAATGACATTGTCATTAGTCTACTAATTTAAAATATAGTTTTTATCGGAAATTAGAATCAGTTTATAAATTAACTTACATGTTCCAACACTGGAGTCGTCGCTGTTGGAGTAAGAGCTTCCACTTCCGTAGTTAGAGCCAGAGCCAGAGTATGATGATCCACTTCCATAGCTGGTTGAGGCTGGGGCAGTGTAGGAGGCTCCACTTTCGTAGCTGGTTGAGGCTGGGGCAGTGTAGGATGATCCACTTCCGTATCTCGTTGAAGCTGGGGCAGTGTAGGATGATCCACTTCCATAGCTGGTTGAGGCTGGGGCAGTGTAGGATGATCCACTTCCATAGCCGGTTGAAGCTGGGGCAGTGTAGGATGATCCACTTCCGTAGCTGGTTGAGGCTGGGGCAGTGTAGGATGGTTTTTTGTAGGTGGCATAATTTGAGCTGTAGGTGGATGGTTTGGGGTAGCTTGGGACATTGTAGCTTGGTGATTTGTAGTTGTTGTTGTCGTAGTTGTTGTTGTTGTTGTTGTAGTCATTTCCAGCTTGGTAGCTATTTGATCCGCCATAAGCCTGGACGTAGCTGGTGCCTGGATCGTAGTAAAGACCATCTCTGTATTGGTCGTTGTTGCCTACATTCTTGTACTGGTTATTTCCATAGTTGCTGCCATAGTTGCTCTGACCATCATAGGCGTTTCCTGAGCTACCATAGTTGCTCTGACCACCATAGGCTTTTCCTGAGCTACCGTAGTTGCCCTGGCTACCGTAGTTAGAACCACTGTAGCTAGCAGAGGCAATGGCCAAAATGGCGAAACTGACGATCATCTCCATACGAGCCATGGTTGAAATATTTCAGCTGATGAAGACAGTACCAGAAACATTATGTTAGATAACAATCCGTAGGCAAATACACATAAAGCAATTTGGGTCATCATTTAAATGTTTACCTTAAAGATCCTTTTACAATATTTATCAAATAATTTTTATCAAGCCGCACACTCATTTGATTTGTGTTAGGAAGTAATGATAACAATTATTCCTTCAGACTATTGGAAGTTCAGCTCAGACCATGTTTGATCAAAATCTCAAATAAAGTTAGCATTTTCGAAAATGAAAAAAAAAAGGAAAATTAAGTTTTCCAAAAACCCATCTTCCACAGATACTTCTAACCCATCTGCCAAATCTACTTCTTCATAATCTCCAACCCCATCACCCAAAGCTACTTGTTATAGCCTCTAGCCCAGTGGTTCTCAACCTTTCTGGTGCCGCGACCCCCTTAATACTGTTTCTCATGTCGTGGCGACCCCTAAGCCACACAATTATTTTCGTTTCTACTTCATAGCTGTAAGGATATATGTTTACATATGATCTTAGGCGACCCCTGGAAAAGGGTCCCGCGACCCCCAAAGGGGTCGCGACCCACAGGTTGAGAACCGCTGCTCGAACCCATCTCTCACAGCTTCTTTTTATCATCTCTAACCCATCTACTTCTTTATAATCTCTAATCCATTTCCTATAGCTACTATTTTAATCTCTATGGCAGTGCTGAGGTGATTTGTAAAATAAAATAAAAGTTATTAAAAGGTCAGCAAGTTTAAATTACGAAAAAAAAAAAAAAAAAAAAAAAAAAAAAAAAATTTATCAATGCAACGCATAGCGGTCTTTTGAATACTCTCAAAATAAAAACGAGATTTCTTTAGAGTAATTTCTTTCAATTGTGTTACAATTTTATATGTCGTTTCCTGTGTTTTGGCTGTAAATATTTGGACAATGCATTTGACAATTGCAGCACTAAACAGAATATTTGGTCAAATAGCTTTCAATTTATTTTGTCTACGACGTTCTCCAACCTACCTGAACCACTTACGTCTGGGTGTACAAGGCAAGAGTCTGGGGACGATGTGATACTATATGGGTTTGATGCTCCTTTTATACACCAGAAAACACAAAGGTGGAGTAGACAAATTCATTAACAGTATAAGAAACGCATTTGTCATCTTTAAAAATAATCTTAGAAATCTAGTACAGATTAACTTCTGACGTACACATCAGGCCACATTGGGGAGCGGGATATTAATTATGTATTGACGGGTCTTACCAAGGGATTTGTTGGGACTGGAGTGAGAAATAACAAGATTTCATCAACCTACATCACCCCTACCAACATGGGAACATTGGCAGAATTTAGCTGTACATAGCTAGCGGGTTATTCAGTTCACAATTACCCGTGTAAACTAGAGGGTGATTGAGTAGCTAAATTTAAGCAGGTAAACTAGCGGGTTATTGAGTAGCTAAATTTCAAAAGGTAAGCTAGAGGTTTATTAATTAGCTAAATTTCAAAAGGTAAGCTAGCGAGTTATTAATTAGCTAAAATTCAACAGGTAAGCTGGCGGGTTATTAATTAGCTAAAATTTAACAGGTTAGCTAGCGGGTTATTAATTAGCTAAATTTCAACAGGTAAGCTAGTGGTTTATTAATTATCTAAATTTCAACAGGTAAGCTAGCGGGTTATTAAATAGCTAAATTTCAACAGGTAAGCTAGCGGGTTATTAATTAGCTAAATTTTAACAGGTAAGCTAGCGGGTTATTAATTAGCTAAATTTTAACAGGTAAGCTAACCTGTTATTAATTTGCTAAATTTCAACAGGTTAAATAGCGTGTTATTGAGTAGCTAAATTTCAACAGGTTAAATAGCGGGTTATTGAGTAGCTAATATTCAACAGGTAAGCTAGCGGGTTATTAATTAGCTAAATTTTAACAGGTAAGCTAGCGGGTTATTAATTAGCTAAGATTCAACATGTTAAATAGCGGGTTATTGAGTAGCTAAATTTCAAAAAGTAAGCTAACGTGTTATTAATTTGCTAAATTTCAACAGGTTAAATAGCGGGTTATTAATTAGCTAAATTTCAACACGTAAGCTAGCGGGTTATTAATTAGCTAAATTTCAACACGTAAACTAGCGGGTTATTAATTAGCAAAATTTCAACAGGTAAGCTAGCGGGTTATTAATTAGCTAAATTTCAACAGGTAAGCTGGCGGGTTATTAATTAGCAAAATTTCGACAGGTAAGCTAACGTTTTATTAATTTGCTAAATTTGAACAGGTAAGCTAACGTGTTATTAATTAGCTAAATTTCAACTGTTGAGCTAGCGGGTTTTTAATAAGCTAAATTTTAACAGGTAAGCTAGCGGGTTATTAATTAGCTAAATTTTAACAGGTAAGCTAACGTGTTATTAATTAGCTAAATTTTAACAGGTAAGCTAACGTGTTATTAATTAGCTAAATTTCAACACGTAAGCTAGCGGGTTATTAATTAGCTAAATTTCAACAGGTAAGCTGGCGGGTTATTAATAAGCTAAATTTCAACAGTTTAAATAGCGGGTTATTAATTAGCTAAAATTCAACACGTAAGCTAGCGGGTTATTAACTAGCTAAATTTCAACAGGTAAGCTAGCGTGTTATTAATTAGCTAAATTTCAACAGGTGAGTTAGCGGGATATTAATTAGCAAAATTTCAACAGGTAAGCCAGCGGGTTATTAATAATCTAAATTTCAACAGGTAAGCTGGCAGGTTATTGATAAGCTTATTTTCAACAAGTAAACTAACGTGTTATTAATTAGCTAAATTTCAACAGGTAAGCTAGCGGGTTATTAATTAGCTAAATTTTAACATGTAAGCTAGCAGGTTATTAATTAGCTAAATTTTAACTGTTGAGCTAGCGTGTTATTAATTAGCTAAATTTCAACTGTTGAGCTAGCGGGTTATTAATTAGCTAAATTTCAACACGTAAGCTAGCGGGTTATTAATTAGCTAACTTTCACCAGGTAAGCTAGCGGGTTATTAATTAGCTAAATTTTAACAGGTAAGCTGGCGGGTTATTAATAAGCTAAATTTCAACAGGTAAGCTAGCGGGTTATTAATTAGCTAAATTTTAACAGGTAAGCTAGCGGGTTATTAATTAGCTAAGATTCAACAGGTTAAATAGCGGGTTATTGAGTAGCTAAATTTCAAAAGGTAAGCTAACGTGTTATTAATTTGCTAAATTTCAACAGGTAAGCCAGCGGGTTATTAATAAGCTAAAGTTCAACAGGTAAGCTGGCAGGTTATTAATAAGCTAAATTTCAACAAGTAAACTAACGTGTTATTAATTAGCTAAATTTCAACAGGTAAGCAAGTGGGGTATAGATTTCATTATTTCAGAGGTAAATTAGTGGGTTATAGAGCTCAAAATTTCCCGGGTAAGCTAGTTGGTAAAATATTAATTAATAATTATAGATAATTACATCCTAGATAATTAATGCCAAATAGACAACTATAAACCTGTAATATTTTGATTTGGTAACAACTGCCTCTTATCGCCATCTAAAGTCATAGCAGGTCTGGGTCATAGGCACTTTAGGCCATCCTTACAGTACATACGCACAAAATTCAAATTTTAGACAACCCCCCCCCCTGTCGCTTGTGGTCCTATTTTACGAATGTACAGTGACCTTTCCTTGCACCCCATTAAAAAACCATCAGCAAAATCTCATTTTTTTAACATAATTATTTTACCAGTAACAGAATTTGACACGTGTTGTCCCCATTGACCTTTTGGCGAGCCCGATGGTTCCCAGAATATATACGCCGCATCGCCCTGTGGCGCCCGTGGCCCTCGGGCAGGAACATTGGCATTGGGATAAGAGCAACAGGCGCCAAAGTTAGAGGGCGTCAAAGTCGCTTTTGGATGGGAACAGGATAAAAACTATAAACTATAGTCAGTTTAAAGTTTTTAAACTATAAAATTCCCGTATCCTTTATAATGACACGTGGTGCTAAAAATAGTCATTTGCATATCCACCGGTTGGGGGGGGCATATTTTGTATATATGCGGCTTCCTCGGAGTAACCCACTTGAGTAACTACTGTTTTCGGTTACTAGATGGAGGTCAGTGACCTACATACGTGTTATATATCTATTTTTAAGCAACCCTTTATTTTTTAAGTATTTTTTTATGTAATGGCTATTTCGAAGTTTACTTTGAATTTATCCCAGGGAAGCTGGGGATAACCTAAACTTGACATAGGTGAGGTAAACAAAAACTTTAGAACCCCTGGCGTCGCCCCCTCCTCCCCCCCCCCAAACAAAAAAAACATACGTCACATGCAGGTTAAAATATCGTTGAAAAACTATTACTGTAATACCTCTACTACTAAGTACAATCAGAGCATATCTAGCATGTTCATATTAGAAAATACATGGAATCGGTTTGACGATAAATACTAAAAAACATTGCGTGATATTTTTACAGAATTTTTTGTTATTTGGTTTTTTAGAGTCTCAGGGTAAAAACATTGCAAAAAGTGTGTGTGTGTGGTGGGGAGAGGGGGAGGATCTCGGCATAAATGTACGTAATTTCTGCCGAGAACCCCCTCCCCTCCCCCTCTGCGTCATCGTACACGTGTAAGCAAAATCTCCAGCGCGTTCAACTATATCTATGGTATGTCGTCACCGTTAATGAAAACCAGTAAAGTATTCACGACAGTTTTTTTCAGAATATATGGAGCGTGTCAAGATTTTTTTAAAGATCAATCTGACACGAGATAAAATAACAGCTTTATATTTGCATCAGCCTTACAAATAGAGGCGCTTTTAGTTTTTTTAAAAATAGTTTTTATAGCGGCCGTTTTATATAGTGCAGACGAAAAGATTAATAAAAATGGCCATCGTTAATGAAGTTATTTTATTCTGAGTCTTTGTTTTTACTGGGCGTGTCTACTTAGATACGGACCACTGGTTGTATAGGGGACCTGTCACATCTACAATCACTCACAATCACAATCTAGTTATGATCTATAAAAACAGAGGCGTAGTGAATCA